GCGTGTGCGTGTGCGTGTGCGTGTGCGTGTGCGTGTGCGTGTGCGTGTGCGTGTGCGTGTGCGTGTGCGTGTGCGTGTGCGTGTGCGTGTGCGTGTGCGTGTGCGTGTGTGTGTGAGAGAGAGAGAGAGAGTGAGAGAGAGAGAGACAGAGAGAGAAGCGACGATCGGTAGAGAAGACCGACTTCGTTCGCTTGAGACGGCGGCATCGTTGTAAGAGGCGGCGGTACCGTTGTTGATAAAACAACAAGCGACTTTCGGCGACTTTCGGCGTCGATTGATGGCGGCGACCGAAACAGTCGAAACGTTAAACAAGCGATAGGCGTTTTTCCGAAATGCGAAGCGTACGAGCGACGAGAGAGTCAGTCTGGATCGGCCTAGCGAAGAGAGCGGGTCGGTTTTAGCGAGTAAGAGTTTGAGAGCGTAACGCGTGAGTGCAGAGTGTCTGTAGAGTATCGTCGAATCTTTCCCGAATCTTCTAGAACCCGTTGGTTCATGTACTATATTCAATAAACTTAGTATACAACCTTATATCCCTACATTACCAAACGAACGGCCAACAGATAAGTTTCTCCAATATTTTGAAGAAATTTTCTTGAAAAGGACCAAAATCCGAATGGTCGAAACGTTGGAATAAATTGTAAAATTAAGCCACCTTAGCAAGTTTAACATCGTCAAACAATTTTTCTACCCTAAAATAGGTGGCTTGACTAGCACGTATTGCGACGGAAGACCAACGTTACCAAGAAACTTGTTGTTCAATCCAGGGTATGTATTTGGTCAGATCAAAATAGACGTTGTATATCTGTTTATCGCAGGGCAAAGACCTATTTGTATACGGCAAAAACGGTGTAAGTATTCCGCGCAAGTGATAACGGCCTGTGATAGTGTCCAGAAACACTAGCCCACTACCGCTGTCACCGCTGCAAGGACCGACTTCTAGTGAAGTGGCGCAAAAGATGCGCTGCGAAATGGTACCATATGATGAATAGCTCCGGAGACAGGTTTCCTGTAATTTGTAAAACACTGTCGGATTATTATTTATACAATTTGATTTTATAATGATAGGGCGAAATACATCAACGTTTTGTATAATATATCCGTTACGAAATCGCTATTGTGCGGAATTATGTTATGTCAAGTCCCAACGACATACAGGGTGTTACTTAAAGACCGCCCACCAAGTACATAGCGTTATTCCTTATAAAATTCTGAGTCGAAAAGTCCTGAACCATTTTTTTCTATCATGCTTAATAATGAATGAGTCAATCCACTGAGCACCGGCCTTTAGCCGGGCGGCACGTCAGTGAGCCGCGCGCCTGGTAGTGTGTGTGAGCGCTCGCGCCGCTATCGCGTAATATTACGCATCGTAATATTAGAAATAAATTTTTCTTATGCCAAGAATTATATTCCTCCTATCAAAAGTACCTCCTTTTATAGAAAATTTCGACGGATAGAGCTTTTACCAAGACTTAATCATTACTATAAAGAATTTGACAAACACAAAAAAATTCTGTTTTACAAAAATTATTTTTCGAACAATCTGTGTCTTTAGAAATCTTTGCGTTAACACTTAATTATTAAGACAAATCGTTTATTGAATCTTTTTAAGAGTAATTTCATCCAGTTACTCAGAAGTAATAAATTTTGTAAGAGAAATTTCTTATAACAATTAGACATTTAAATAATTCATACTTAAAAGAAAATACTTAATGGAAAAATAGAGGAAATTAAAAAATAGATAAAAATGTCTTTCTTTATAATAAAGATTCATTCTCTATTCATAATATTGAATACAATTTTCTCTCTGATATTAAAGGCCGACAAAAAGAATTTTATATCACACGTGCACGGAAAAGTGCCTCTTTTTCGACAGTTTTTCGTGCCCAAAATAGACATTTGCCGACACAATACCGTTTGCACGCAACATGGCGTCAACTGTGCGGAAAAAGCCGTGCGGTAAAATTATTACCGCACACTTTAGCGCTGTTTTTGTTTATCTCCCAGCACAATTGCCGATTTCTCTTCCACACGCCGTCTTCGACAGATGACAGGTTAGCCTCAAAGTTTTTACACGTAACAGTAAAAAAAGAGGTACTTTTCCGTGCACTTATAATATAAAATAGTATGTGATACATACTCGCCTTCGGCTCGTGCGCCCACCCGCTACTCGTGGCCAATAGCCAATTTCCCGCACATGTATCACAATATACTATTATCAAGCAACTCTAATCAGATTAGGTGTTTCATATAGATTTTTAATAAAAAAAAAATCCTGCTGACCAAATTGCTCCATCACATTAGCAAATAGCAATTCGCTTACAGAGTATGGGTTGAGTTAGGTGCAGTTGTTCTTTTTAACTACATGATTTGTGTTAAAATTAAAAAATTCGACATACTTGATAATAAAAAATAACATAATATTCTTTAATTATTTAATAATGTAGGGGAGGAACGCTTTATTTATTGTTGCAAATGGGAGAAGTTTCCTGACGTTTTACAATATTAGTAGTCCTGAAAAGAACTGTTTTGCAGTAAACTACACTGAGAGACCCATTTTGTTGAATGAAACAAAATTTAGTTGACTCACTGAATTTCTTGTTTGGATATGAGTAAACAAATATTTCAGTTGATACAACAAAAAAATTTAGTTTTAAAGTTTGGTTATATCAACACACACATTTGCTTGAGTGAACAAACGCAGAATCCTTTTATAATATTCAACTAAACGATTTAGGTCACGCAACAAACACATTTATGTGATGAGATGGACGAATTGGTTATCTCAACCATAAAATTTTGTTCAAATAAATAACTCATGGAAACAAAATATTTAATTGTTGTAACTTTTCATTTCTTTTCAGCAACATATTTTTCGTTTTATACAACTAAATTACATGTTTAGTCAACAAAATGGATTTCACAGTGTACTATAAGTCCTGAAAGGATTTATTACAATAAATTTTCGAAATGGGCCCCATTAGCTTCGATGCACGTTTCCGCACGTAAAATTAAATTTTCTCGCACACGTCGAATCATTGGTCCATCGACAGTTTGTACACAGAGAGAACGTTTCTTTGAATTTAATAAATTTTATTAGATTCAAAGAAATTTATCTTTTGGAATAGTCCAAACAAACCAATTGTTGTTTCAACAAATATGATTATTTGACCTTTCAAATAATAAATAGCTTTACTTCAAATAAAATATTTCTTTGAAACGAAAGGAATATTCTCTTTAATCTAAACGATATTATTGTTTCATTCAAACAGCATTATCGTTTGATAGAAAATATGTGAAACAAATGTATATGCATACATCTTTCTCCCTCTACATTCGAATTTTCTCTTCATTAAAGGAAGAAAGATAAACACTGAATTAGTACACTATGTTCAGCCATAATAAAAAATAGACCATTAAATGATTAAACTGCGTCTGCTGATGCGGTCGCTTATATATCATAGCTGCCGCGATTTTACTTACGAGTTCGGCGGCCATCTAGTGGCAGCACCAAACTTTATAAGCGCCTGGCCAAATAATATAATTATTTCATTGAAAGATATTACTTCAAATAATAGTGTTTTTTCTATCAAATAATACAGGTTGTTTGAATAAAACAACAAAATTCTTATTCAAAACATATAATGTTTCGTATAAGCATATATTGTTTTAATGAAACAAATTTCAACCAAATAAATAGGAATACTAAATCCAAAGAAACCTTTCTCTCTGTGTACAGCGATTTGCATACGTGCTATAATTTCTTCAGGTGAAGCGGGCTCTGTTGCATATATTATTGTCTTCAGATGACTCCAAAGAAAAAAGTCTAACGGTGTTAGATCAGGTGAACTGTTAACAATCAATATAAAAAATATGAGTTTACTCTTTTCTACATCCTTTTTTCTCTCAAACTTTTCTATGAAGATTAAAAGCTTCTCGTACCGTGCGGGCCATCTGATTGGTCCATGTTGCGCTATCCAACGGCCGGGAAAACGTGTATTTAAAAAATTTGTAACGCCTCGGTATGCATGCGGTGGTGCCCCGTCTTGCTGGAAATACATGACTGTTCTTTGCAACAGAGGAATATCTACCAGAAGACCTGGTAGCCATTGTGTTAAAAAATCAGCGTAATTTCTCCCCTATAAAAGAAACATTTTTAGTACATATTGACATTTATTGCAAACTGATCAGAATACTTTTAATATTTTTACCGTTAAAATATCTGGTAGAAGAGTAGGACCGATAACTCTGTCTCCCAAAATACCTGCCCAGAAGTTTAGCTTCCATCTATGTTGGAAGCTACGCGTGCGGGTCACGCGTGGATTTATAACATCATAATAATGTTCGTTGTGACAATTAAATAGACCAGTGCGCGTAAATAATGATTCGTCGGTCCACATAATATTAGCCAGAAAGTTTTCATCGGCTTCATTATTTTGTAGAAGCCAGCGACAGAAATTCACTCTGGCATGGTGATCTCTGGCATTTAATTCCTGTACTTTTGTACGATGGAACGGGTACAACAATTCACTTTCTAGTACTCTGTGAACAATTACGTGATTAATGCCTAATGCGCGGCCTATCGCACGTGTACTAATTGTGGGTGTATCGTAACTTTGTTTCCCGCGTCATTTATATTTCCCGCGCGCGATTCTTCCCGGGATCCCCCGAGCGCTATCAGAGAAAGCGTCTCCGCCAATCGTATCGGTTCCCTCGCGTACCGCGTGGCAAGCCATTGGCGAATGAGTTCGTTGCCCCTCCACCCCGACGGCAACGTACTGCAGGCAGACAGACGCACGTTAGTCGTTACCAGTCGTTACGAACGAGTACCAGAGAGTGTCTCTGAGACTGTGTGCGTGCGTTCATGCGTGCGAGCGGATCGAGCGTATCTTTTGTATCTCCATAAACCTTATTAAACTAAATCCGAGCAAGTCAATCGCCTTACTCGACCACGCCCGATCTCTGAGACGAGACCAGAGATTACCCGCGTGGAGGCCACAAGGCCTGCAAGAAACATTGGTTCTTCGAGCCGGATACGAGACACCCGCCACCAGGTAACCATGCACACGGTCACACAAGTAACCCAGGTCGGTACGCGAAGGCAACAGTCATCATTCGAGACCGCACGCTGCCGACGAAACGAGGCGCAAGACCCCGTTAAAGAATAGGAGACACAGCTACTTCGTCGCCCGCCATCCGGCCCAGTCGTGCCAGGAGGCCACGACTCGAGCATCGCCCGCCATCCGGCCCAGTCGTGCCAGGAGGCTACGAAACGAGTGTCGCCGGCCGTCCTGCCCAGTCGTGCTAGGAGGCCACGAATCGACCGTCGCCGGCCGTCCCGCCCAGCATACCTCCCAGATGAAAGCCGCTACAGCAACCGCGGACGATGGTGGGGATGTGGTGGGGGTATGCGCTCAGGCGGCCGAGCGCCTCGGCTGTCTTCGGAGAGCAGAGTGCGACAGAGCTATGTTCTG